ACATTTTTGTAGAAACAACTAAATAGAGTTTAGAAATTAAGCAGGGACTACCTTCTCCTTAATGGCAGGGCAGCATATAAATGAAAACATAGCCTTTGCCTAAAAACTACATCTCAGCATATCACTGAAAACATAGCCTTTGCCTAAAAACTACATCAAATTCTAATTCACTTACGAAAAACCCATAACCCTTGGAACAAAGTGCTACAAAATTCCCTACTTACTCATCTATGTACTGTCAGAGCCTGTTTTCAAACAGTCTAATCATTTCTATTTAGGAGAAATGCCTTTATACAACCAAAAGGAAATAGAAACATCTAAACACATCAGCTTAGACACAGAAAAATGTAAAACAAATTATTTGCCATGTGTAGAAGGTTAATAGTTGCTCCTGTGTATTGGGGTTTTATAGTAAACATTAGAATACGATGGGGAGCAAACATAATTGATTTGAATTCATTATTATTAAATCCAGATTTGTTGAAGTATTGTTAAACTTCAGGAGAAATCTCCTAAAGCTCAAGAATTTAGCATGATAATATAGAAGAACCTGTAGAGAGATTGGCTGGAGCTTGATTTACATGCAGGTGCTAACATCTTTCTGAAACTCTTCTTCTAAAGTGGTAATTTTCCTTCTCTGGAGATTGAGCATAAGAGAGTCAGACTTTCCTTCACTATCAAACTTGGGCATTAGAAAGCACTGGTCATACTTATCAGTCATTCAGATTTTTAAAAAAAATTTCTACCACATCTCAGACTGAAAAAGGGAGAGATCTTGTTACTTTGGGCTAAAAATCAGAAAAGTTAACAGGTTAAATCCTGACAGCAAAACTCTTCCTTAAAAAACGGAAATAAGCAAAGCTGAATCTAACCATGACATAGTAATTCTACAACAGCACAATTCTCCATGGGAAGACATCAGGGAAATGATGGGTGGAGAGATACAAGTATACACAGGAATATTGATTATCTGTATAATAACTTATTCATGATGCCTCAAGATGATGGATTTAATTTTACTAATGTACCCATCTCTTCCCGACTACATTAGTCAGATAGAAACTGTATGCATTCCTTTAAACAAAACCTGTTAACTTTTCTGCTTTTATATGTGTATAGCAGAAAAGATTTTCAAAGTCAAAGCATCTGCTGCACATATATTTGCAGGTATCCAATCTAAGTGAAAGGGAAGCTAGCTAAAGTAAGCAATATCCAACTGGCTATTTCCCCTATATACTTTATATATCTACATGCATTAGTTGCCATAGAATGAGAAAAATTATGAGCTGTCAATCCTTAGGTTTCAAAGCATAAACTTTTATAGAAAAGTTAACAAAAGGAGCTAGCTGGAGAGCAGTGGGGTGACGGGGGGCAAATTATTTTTTTGCACCTTATGTTAGAACAGTGGTTCTCAACCATTTTAGACTCCCAGAACCCCTGGAAAAATGTCAGCTCTTAGCTTCCACTATTTTTTGCCTACAGAAAAATAATAGAACAGTTTTTCTGTTGCAAAGAACTCAGAGAGCCCACATCTATGGATTCATATCTGAAATCTCTGGGTTTTTCTTGTGAATCATCACACTGGCACACCTCAGAGCTCTAACATTGTGTGGCACCCTGAAGAACCCTTAAAAGGATCTCAAGGCACCCTGGTTCAGAATCACTGGGTACATCTACACAAGATGCTTGCTGAACATTAACCTAATAACTCTGCACAGTAGCATCACGGCAAAAAACCATGCTATCATGTGCAGTGTTATTAGGCTAATGCACAGTAAGCATCACTAAATAACTGTACCAGTGTTACTGCGCAGTAACTTTAGTTACTGCACATTCAGTTAATACTTCATTAAATGTAGTACTAAGTTAAATGTGCAGTATTTAAGGCTCATTAATGAACATGTAGATGCACCCACTGTGTAAGATGCATCCAGTAGCAATCACTGTCAGAAACAGGATGTTGATTTCAACAGAAAACAGGTATGAACTGACGACATAAACACCCTCCCTGTATATAAGAGACTTGAATCTGTTTTAGGTTTGTCAACAGCACTAAACTCACAAATATTTTCAACATTTTACTTCTGAAATATTTTTATAACTTAAGGTAGGTGTATTGATTGATTAGTTGAATTTTCCTTTAAGAGGGTAAGCTCATTAAATATATAGACTACTCAATAGTGTAACTAGGGCAGGGTAAACTGAGAAGATGCCCTAGGCACTGTTTTGGCAGGGAGGATGAAAGGGGAATATCAACTTTTGCTGCAGCCACACAGTCGCAGGAGCACCAGTGGCAGCCGGAAATTGCTGCTGCCCCAGCCACCTGGCTGCTTTGTTATGCCTCAATGAAACTGCACAGCTCTAACCTGGAAGTTACACTGTCTGTATTTGTTCAACATTTGAATTCTCTGCTTATTTTTGCAAGGCAGTATATATTATAACACTTTTTTTTCTCTGAAATTAAAGAAAATCTAGTAAGAACTTGAAAGTAGTTGGTAGTTAATAGCCAGATATACTATGTCTAAAACTTACAGACTCAATTCTAGAATTTTTTAAAACTTTTCTGACTAGTTCAATCTAACAAAAATGGTCAGCTTGAAGGGAAAACTAATAGCTATGCAGTTTGTTTCCTCCCCTTGTCTATATGCATGTAATAATGAAAAGATAATACTCCATTTAAATTACACAGGTTTATAATGTTTTACTGGGGTTAAATCAATACATACATTCCCAATTTAGCCCATCCCCCTGTCTAACATTGATATGACTTCAAAAATTATTTTTTTGCTTTATTTTATACTTCAGATATGTAAATATGATAGTTTAGTGGTGCTCAATATTCTAGCCTCACAGGCCAGATGGCGGGAACATGGCCAGAGCCCATGTGCCGTCAGTGCACGGGGTCAGTCCAGGGGTCAGTCCACAGGCATGATTCTGTGCACCCATCCACCAGACCCAACCATGGAGTAACCCTGTTCACCAGTGTGATCTGATATCTGGAGCCATGTCAGCCAGCCTACAGGTCTGCAAATGTGAAGGAGGGAGAACGGTGGCAGCATTAATTGCCACAACTCTGGAAGCCACAGCAACTGACATGACCACTTCTCCCTCAAACTAAATTTTCAGATTTATGGGGGGTTCTGGCAGGCTGGATGAAAAGGCCTCTCAGTCCAGAGGCTGAGCACCACTATGACAGTTTATTCAAAGTATGTGAAAAAGTTTCTGAAATAAAGGAAATGTTTTGATGCATTCCTGGACGATAAATAAATATTCAGCAAGAAATGAATATGCTTTTGATATAAACTCCTATGATCTCCTCTCACTCCCTCTCTTGAGCAATAGTGCCCTCACCGGTAACTGAATGGGCACGGAAACAATTACAGCTCCATTATTAGGTTTCTATCCTGCATGGCAGGGTATGGAAAAATACTAGAGGTCTCTTAATTTACCCAAAGATGTTAAGTTAGTAAAATAGCATTGATGGTCACCAGTGGGGAAGCATGTCCAGATTTTACTATTTTTGCAAGTCCCAGAATAAATCAAGAAACTTCTGAACAATAATATCTGTTCAGTGCAACAGGACAGTGTTTTTTCACTAAACTTTTTCAACAGCATATATGCTAAGTCATATATTCCACTGATTCAGATCTATTTTATGCATGCAAATCAAGTTAGCAAGTTAACAAAGACAACTATAACTGCATATTTCATAAAGAAAATGAAAACTACACAAGAAAGTCATCATTCTGCAATCAAATACTCTGTGCAGATCCAGGGAGGTCCTCAAAGGTGCCAGGTGGCAGCCTCTCTCCAAACTGTCATTCCCAACACAGCTGCTTTGCTGGGCCCTGGGGCAGTCTCCAGCCTCCGACTGGGGCCCAATGGGGAAAATGCAAATTAATGAATGTCACATAAAGAGCACTGATGTGACAGACAGACATTTTTTTTAAAATATAATTTGTATCTGAGGCCAGATTAGCCAAAACTAATTCCAAATCCAAGAGTCCAGAACCATAAGTGGCCCTACTACCGGCAAACATCCTCCACCAGCACCTGGGGCTTCAGATGTTTCCAAAACCTTTGGGGGGCATCCTACTTGCAGGCTCAAGCCCAGAGGCTTGGGGCTCAGATGCTCCCAAGTTTTGCCTGCCCTTAGCCATAAGGCCCTTGGAGCAAGCAAGGGAGGAGACTCCCATTTCCATAAACTAGGCTTAAAGCCACTGCACCTCAGGGGTACTGAACCATGCCAGAAGGGCAGTTCTCCTGTG